ATTAGTATATTCTTATTTTTTATTTTAAAAGAGATTGTATTCTTTATGTAAATGTAATTTTGTGTATTTGTTTTTTATCGTAATGTATCTTTTAAAGCAATTTTTATGATTTAAACAAAGACTTACAAAAATAATTGCGTTTTCAATGAAGTTATAATCGTTAAAGTTAATAAAACTAATTATGTAACAAACATATAAGTAGTTTCTGGTTACTAAACACAAAAAACGCATACAAAGTAACTCGCGGATGAACAAGCATCGCGCCTGAGGTCACGACAGAACACAAATATATATATCAAATAATTAGATATAAAGAAAAGTTTCTAGATATTGGTTTACTTACTCTAATTATTTTCGCTTAAGTTGCCATTCTTAAAACTCGTTATACTTTTTTCTGCTTTAAATACTAATTAAAATTAAAAAGCTCACTCACTAAACATCATCAGCGATATCGCGAAGCAGTTTCGCTTCCTGGTCATTAAGTATTTTTAACCTTTTTAGTTGATTTCTATCTTGATTATTTAATTCCTATAGTAATTCGATGATTTAATTTTTTCATTTGTTTATCTTACTAAGAAGAATCGCTTCAAATATGTTAAACTTTTCAAACTACTCGAAACATAAAATAGGTATTAAAAAGTTAACTTTTTTATTTATAAAAAAATTTAGCTTAAGTAAAACTAAAACTTGCAAACTTAGTTAAATAAAGAATATTTATTTCCCTTTTAAACAATCGTAAGTTGTTACTTTATATAAAAAACATCGCTTAATTTTATTTTTTTTGTAATTGTCTCTCATCGGTCCAATTAATGTTCGTCGCTTTTTTTTTTTTTGCTTTTTAAAATGTTCTCAAAACGACTAAAAATCTGGCCAGCTTTTCGCAACTAAATATTATTTACGTGGTCAGCAATCGAGAGCGATCGCTCCCGCTTCCCGACCAAGCCTGATATATATATATATATATATATATATATATATATATATATATATATATATATATATATATATATATATATATATATATATATATATATATATATATATATATATACATTTCCCAAATGCTCTTAAAATTAAAACTCCCAACTTAAAGATGAAAAAATCCCATTCTCAAAAAAAAGTTTTCAAAAAAGTTTAATATTAATTCTAAAAATAATTTCAAATTAAATATTATTCGAAACTAATAGAAAAATAACATAAAAAAATTCTAATTCATTAATTGCGTAAAACATGAAATCAAATCGCTATTATTGGTATAAAAACGCAATTGCATGACTGCGAAAATTGGTTTCTTGGAAAAAACATCATGAGAATTGGAATTTTTGGAGCAATTTTTGTGGCAACTTGCAATAAAATTTTAAAATAGTTTTTTGCAATGCATTCCAACAACAGCAAATATTATATAAAAAAGTTAGCAAGAAATAAAGTACTAATCTAAAAGATCCAAAATAATAACAAACTTATTTGGTTTAAGTCCTATTTATTTAAAAGTTCTGCGTTTCTCAATCTCTTACTCAGATAGTTAACTTTGTGACTCATTTTCCTGACAACCCTAATCATTTACCTTCACTCCTTGACTTATGTCTTGTCTCTGACCCTAGCTTATGTTCAGTTTCTCCCTTTTCTCCTTTAATTGGTTCCGACCATGCAATGATCTCTATAAATCTTTCTTCTCGTACTTCTTTTTTGGGCTCACCTTATCATCGCACCACCTACTACTACCCTAAAGCTGATTGGGATTCCTTTCGTGATTTTCTTCGTGATGGTCCTTGGGCTGATGTTTTTTCTCTCTCAGCTGACAAATGCGCCTCCTACGTAACCTCCTGGATTCAGGCTGGAATGGAAGCTTTTATTCCTTCTCGTCGGTTTCAAGTCAAGCCTCACTCTACTCCATGGTTTTCTCCTTCTTGTGCGGCTGCTATATCCAATCGTAACCATTTTTTTCATCTTTTTCAAAAGAACAACTCTCTTGAGAACAAATGGCTATTTATTATTGCAAGAAATCGATGTAAAAAGGTGCTTTCTGATGCTAAACTCCATTATTCTCAGTTCACTAAATCTCGCATCTTATCACAGAAGTTAGGCTCTAAAGACTTTTGGAAAATCTTCAACAGCATTGTTAACAAGGGTAGATCTAACATTCCATCTCTCATTCATGGGACTGATCTTGTTACCTCTCCCAGGGATAAGGCAGAACTGTTTGCAAAGAACTTTTCTTCTAATTCCACTCTTGAATCTTATGGACATTCTCTTCCTTCCATTCCAGTCAAACAGGTTGACCCATTGTTAGACATTCAAATCACTCCGGCCTCTGTTGCTTAAGTCATATCTCAATTAAACTTGTCTACAGCTTGTGGTCCAGACAACATTCCTGTCACAGTCTTGCAGAATTGTTCTCCAGAACTTTCTTCAATTCTCTCTAAACTATTTAACAAGTGTTTGACTAAGTCTTGTTTTCCTGCTTGTTGGAAAATGGCATCTGTGGTTCCAATATTCAAAAACTCTGGAGAAAATTCTGACCCCTCCAATTATCGTCCGATCAGTCTTCTTTCTGTTATTAGCAAGGTCTTTGAGTCTTTGATCAACAAATTCCTCACATCTCATCTTGAGTCAAATAAACTGCTGTCAGACAATCAATACGGTTTTCGATCCTCTCACTCTACGGCCGACTTGCTAACTGCTGTAACTGAAAGATTTTATCGTGCATTAGATGGAGGCAGTGAGGCTAGGGCTATTGCTCTCGACATATCTAAAGCTTTCGACAAAGTTTGGCATGCTGGTCTTCTCCATAAGCTTGCTTCATATGGTGTTTCTGGGAAAGTTTTTGAGATTATCAAATCATTTCTTTCTGACCGGTTTATTAAAGTCATCCTTGAAGGCCAACACTCTTCTTTATTTCCAGTAACTTCTGGGGTTCCCCAAGGTTCCATCCTGGGACTTGTTTTGTTTCTTATCTACATAAATGATCTTCCTGACAACCTTTCATCTAAAGTAGCTCTTTTTGCTGATGACTCAACTTTATACTCCTGTCTTGACAAAAAGTCTTCTCTTTTCGATCGCCTAGAACAAGCAGCTGATCTTGAATCTGATCTCACTTCAGTAATAGATTGGGGTTCACAGTGGCTTGTGAATTTCAACTCTAAAAAAACCCAATTGCTTACTGCAAACAACTACCGTAATATGGTCAACATTCCTATATTAATGAATGGCAATCCTCTTACTGAGTCGTCCTCTTTACGTCTTCTTGGATTATCGCTTACTACTGACCTTTCATGGAAACCATATATACAATTGATTGGTAAATTAGCTTCTGCTAAGGTTGCTTCTCTTTATCGTGCTCGCCATTTCCTTACTTCTGATTCCATTCTCTACCTCTACAAATCTCTTATTCGTCCCTGTATGGAATACTGTTGTCATATTTGGGCTGGTTCTTCTAACGATTCACTTTCTCTTCTTGACAAGGTCCAAAAACGCATTGTAAATGTTGTTGGACCTGGACTATCTGCTAAGCTTGAACCTCTTTCCCATCGTCGTAAAGTTGCATCTCTTTTTCTTTTCTACAGATACTATCTTGGTCACTGCTCAAAGGAGTTATCATCTCTAGTTCCATCAACTAAAATTCATTCTCGTTTTACTCGTCATTCAGCTAAGTCTCATTTGTTTACTGTATCTGTCCCTGCATGCTCTAAAAACTTTTATTCATCTAGTTTTTTTCCCCGCACTTCAATCCTTTGGAACTCTCTCCCATCTTCATGTTTTCCTGACTCATACAACCTTCAACTTTTCAAGTCTTCTGTCAACCGTTTCCTTGCTCTATAACTCTGTTCTTTTTTTTTCCTAGTAACTCCCAACTTAATAGTGGTTGCTTGCAGCCTTGTTGGGAGTAAATGCAAATAAAAAAAAAAAATAAATAAAAAAAAAGTTTTGCCCTTTTTGGCTAGAAAGTTTATAACTTATTAAGTCTTACCGTAAACTTAACTTTAAGTAGTACATGTAATTGGTCAACAAAAACATCGAGAAGGTTATGTCTGATACCTTTTGATCAATTACGGGTATTACAGAAAATCTTTTAGTTATTGTTTTTCTTTTTTTTGTTTGGTATTTTATATCAACTGAATTTGCTAAAGTTTTTTTACTTTATTACTGTATTCTTTGATGCCATGCGTGCAATCGCTTGCTAATAATATTACTCTATAATTAAATGACATTTGTTGTTGTATTTGCTGAGACTTTGTGATTATAACTTTATTTCGCTATGTAATTTATGAAAAAAAAATGTGAATTATCAAATTTATGAGCTCGTGTTTAAAATTTTTAAAACCTTATCTATTTTCAAAAAATTTCTTTTGATGACTCAATTTATTACATAATGATGTAATAAATTGGGTTCGTTCATAAGGTACATCGAGCAGAATTTAAATAATAAATAGAAGTAGAAGATCATTGGCTCATTGGAGATCGTTATTTTACTATATTACATTGAAAAGAAATATATATTTAAAATAATACTCTTGAAATGAAAGCAGCGGCGATATATAAAGATTAAAAATAAATCAAAATAATTATTCTCAATAATAATTAATATACACTGATTAGTTTATAATGAAAAAAAGATATTTTTCCTAATATATGTTCGGAAATTGGTTTTTAGTTTGTCGTGTCGTGAAACAGCAGCTAATTTTGAGTTGATTTCATATTCATCTTTAATGATACAGATCGTATTTTATATTTTTGTCGCTGATCAATCAATGTATGCAGCGCTGAAGTAGAGTAGAAAAAAAAAGAACACCAACCAGGAGGGAGTGATTGAGAAATACTTCGACAAATTCCCAATTTCGTTAAAACGCTGTATCAAATTTATTCCTGGTTAACACCCTGATATATATATATATATATATATATATATATATATATATATATATATATATATATATATATATATTTGTTTATATGTATGTATATAAACACATACACATGTTATTACTATTTTTTATATTTAGATAAATAAGAAAAAAATGTTGTCTCTTTTACTCTTCATTGTAACATTAACTCCTAATACTGCAGAGATTTTTACATCAATGGCACAAATGGAAAATTTAGTACATTTAGAAAAAAGTTTTATACATTTACTGCAAAACTACGTAACTGAAGAAGAAAAGCGTCTTACCCAACTAAAGCTTTTTCTTAATGAAGTATCATCAAATTATCATCATATGAATGATTCTGATGCAGCTGCATATATCGCAAATCCTGTAAACGCATATCTTATGTTAAAAAGGTTTAATAATGAATGGAGAAATCTGGAAAAGACTATTGTTGAAAACAGCAGAAAAGGTTTTTTATGTAATTTTTATTGGTTTATTTCATTGTATTGTTATTATTACTTAAATTATCATTGTTATTATTATTATTGTTGTTATATGTCTTAATGATCTGATTTATACATACTTACATACATTCATATATACATGCATATAAGCAATTGCAGGAATGAATTACTGCGTGAGCTGATCAAAGCTTATGTAAAATGGGCATAGGGAGTTAAGCAAGCTGCTCACCTAAACAGCTCAATATAAATTTAAATTTAGATTAATATGAATTTAAATTTAAAAAATTTAAAAAAAGTAATAATTTAAATAATTTGTTATTTTCAGCAACAAAATTGGATAAGGTAAAGCCAAAATAAACAGTTTTAAGTCGACATTAAAAAGAATGAATTTCCTATATTTTATTTGTTTTTTTTAAAGAAGAAAGCAAAAATACGATCTGTTTGAAAAATATATTTGTACAACTTTAATATGAGAAGTGTATATGTCTTTATATGAATTCGTCTATGTAATGCATGAGCATACTTTTATGAATAACTTTTTTTATTACATAATTATAATTATTTATGCATATGCATAAGCGTGTTTAGCTTGTTTGGATAAAGCGTTTACTTTGTACACGGAATGTCCGTGGTTCGAATCCCACCACATATTCATATAGGGTTAAAATATGCTTGTTACTTTAAAGTTATACAAATATACTTTACAAACAAATAACAATTTATATTTTTGCTTTCCTCTTTAAAAAAAAAAAATATATAGGAAAATCATTCTTTTTAACAATGACTTAAAATAGTTTTTTTTTTTTGCTTTGCCTTATCTAATTTAGTTACTGAAAATAGCAACCACTCTAAAAAAACAAAAATAAAAACAGTACACAAATTATTCAAATAATATTTTTTTTCTATTCAAATTTATTTTAATTTCCTATTTTGTTAGTTTTGCTTTCTTTGTTTTTAAAACTTTAGTTTTTAACTGCAACGCTTGATATAATAAAACTTGTAAACAGCCATGACCAAGTTGCTTAAAATAAAATATTTATGCATAGACATACAAGACAAAAAACTCTACACGTTTCCTGGGAAGGCTTGTGGTTGTGTCGCCGTCTTTAGCCATAAAGTAATCAAATTTTGTTGTTCCAAAGTTAAAGTGCATGACTATATATTTTTCACATTTATTGCAAACCTGATTAGGTTTGCAACCAGTTAAAGTCAAGAAAAATAAGGTTGACTGGTTTCTTCTATGATTTGATCTGGGACTAATATTATTATTGCCTATTAACTTATCCCCATTAAGTGTTTTTAGTGTTTTGTTTGTGAACAATATTTCAACCAATTATTATATCCAAAGTTAAAACCTTTCATTTGGATGCAAAAGTTTTTAATGGCTGAATTAATGCGGTTTTAAAAAAATTTAAATTGATTAAGATTTAAATTGTTTGTTGAGATTGTTTGGTTTTATTACTCCATCGCTGCTCATTTGATTTGAATTTGAAGTTAAGGTAAATATTTGATTGCTCACTATCCATTTACTATTATTTTACTATAATGAGTCTTATTTAGTTGTACTTGTCGTTATCTAGCTTTCATAGACACGCAATGCATGTTTCCTATTTATTTTTTTACCTTAATCTTGACATTTTGATGTGCGGTGTATCTTTCCACTAGAGTTTATTTATTTAGTTTAATTAGCTTCATTTATTTGTCTGTGATCCTGGTTAACTTTTTTTTTTTTGACAGTTGATTCAATGTAATAAATTATGGTACAAAAATGCACTTTGGAATAAATTTATGATACGCTTCATTATAGAGGTTAGACCATATGGAATAACATTTTTGAACATTGCAATCCATAAATCTAACTTGTCAATTTATGTTATTTAGAAATATATTTATTTAATTATATTTACCATATTCAAGCCTTCCCAGGAAATGCATGCGGTTTTGCGTCTTGTATGTCCATGCGTGAGTATTTTATTTTAGACAGCTTGGTCACAACTGTTTGCAAGTTTTTTTATATTAGGCGTTACGGAAAAAACTAAGTTTCAAAAACAAAGAAAGCAAAACTAACAAAATAGGAAATTAATATAAAATTTAAATAGAAAAAAATAATTTAAATAATTTGTGTACTGTTTTTATTTCTTTAGAGTGGTTGTTATTTTCGCAACACAATTTGTTTCATATCTTTCTATTCCTGTACGCTTTTTATCCCTGATCTATTAGCACTATGTAATTTTGGATACCTGTTGCTTTTTTACATTCAGCTCAGTGCGTTTAGTTCTACCTGCCTCCCCCATTTTGGTCTACTATGTTTTTGGTAAACAATTACTAATAAAAATTATTATTAATTGTTATGTTAATTATATTAATATAACAATTAATATAAATATCGGCTATATCAGGTAGAATGCGACTAATGGAATCAAAAGATGATATTAATGAGAAGTTCTTAGTAAATAATTCAGCTTTGTCTTTAGGTGAGGTGACAAATTCTGAACCATACAAGAGAGGTGAAATAACAGATTTACACTTGTTACAGACACTGTTAAAGATTCTCTGAATGTCCTGAGAGCATAATTTTATAAAAAGTTTATTTATTGCTAAACTAAAATTTGTTGAATTTATAGCTGAAAAGTTAAATCTATTTCTGAAAGGTTTTCAAAGTGATAAATTAATGATCCGATTTTTATTTGATGTTTTAAAAAGCATATTCGTTAACATTCTCAGAATGTTTTTACTGAATGATTTATTAGAAAAATCTGGTACAATTAAAAATATAATGAAGCTAAATCTATCAGATCCAATGTTATACTAAAGAGAAAACTCAATTGATATTGGTCTGTCTGCCAATATGAAAATTCAAAAGTACAAAAGATAATCGGCATCAATAGGAAGCACAGTTTAAAAATTTATACAAAGACGTATACATATTTTTATCTTCACTTGAAACTCACATATTAGAAAAATCTTCCATAAAATATCTTATTGTCAGGTGTTCATCTTGTCTAGACCCAATTAAATTAGGCGATAGCGAAGAAGTAGAATGTAACAAATTAAAGTTTTCTAAATTATTGCAAAAATTAATGGCTTCTGGATATTTAAAATCATTTTATAATAAACGTTGTTTGTAAACACGATATAAAGTTTTTGTCCTTCAAAAAATATGAAGATAGCTTAGATATTTTTCTTGCTTAACATATAACTGTAAATGGATATACATTTCTTTAGGATGTATGCATAATTTTTTTTTTGCTTGTCTTATGGCCAGGCTGTCATCAAAGGTGGATTCAAAGTAAATAAAGATTATTAGTTGAAAATTTAAGTGAAGATTCACTAATTTCCTTAAGAATAGTGAAACACATGTCGTCAAATTCTGTTTAACTTTATATATATATATATATATTTTTTTTATTTGCATTCACTCCCAACAAGGCTGCAAGCAACCACTATTAAGTTGGGAGTTACTAGGAAAAAAAAAGAGCAGAGTTATAGAGCAAGGAAACAGTTGACAGAAGACTTGAAAAGTTGAGGTTGTATGAGTCAGGAAAACATGAAGATGGGAGAGAGTTCCAAAGGATTGAAGTGCGGGGAAAAAAACTAGATGAATAAAAGTTTTTAGAGCATGCAGGGACAGATACAGTAAGCGAATGAGATTTAGCTGAATGACGAGTAAAATGAGAATGAATTTTAGTTGATGGAACTAGAGATGATAACTCCTTTGAGCAGTGACCATGATAGTGTTTGTAGAAAAGAGAAAGAGATGCAACTTTACGACGATGGGAAAGAGGTTCAAGCTTAGCAGATAGTCCAGGTCCAGCAACATTTACAATGCGTTTTTGGACCTTGTTAAGAAGAGAAAGTGAATCGTTAGAAGAACCAGCCCAAATATGACAACAGTACTCCAACAGGGACGAATAAGAGATTTGTAGAGGTAGAGAATGGAATCAGAAGTAAGGAAATAGCGAGCACGATAAAGAGAAGCAACCTTAGCAGAAGCTAATTTAGTTCAATGGAGTTGGCCTTACTTTCATAAACAAAGGAGTTTTTATGTTTATACCACCTGTCTTTGAAAGTTTTCTCAGTAAGCCCAACGTAATGATATCCTTCTTCTTCTTGGTGAGTTTTTGCGTTGCAAATATAAATAATTTATTTATGTTTATATTTATTTATATTTATATTTATTTATTTATTTATATTTGCAACACAAAAACTCACCAAGAAGGAGAAGGATATTATTACGTTGGGCTTACTGAGAAAACTTTCAAAGACAGGTGGTATAAACATAAAAACTCCTTTGTTTATGAAAGTAAGGCCAACTCCATTGAACTTTCAAAATTTGTGTGGGAATGCAAAAATAAAGGTATAGAACCTATATTAAAATGGAATATCCTTGATCAAGCGGAGAAATTCAAACCTGGTGGTAAGTTTTGCAATTTATGCTTGACAGAAAAATACCACATTTATATGTCGCCATTGAATTTGCTTAACAAACGAACCGAGCTTGCGTCAAAATGCCGCCATGAAAATAAATTTCTAATAAAAAACTTTAATGTCATCAAAGCGGACACTCCATAGCATTTTTTGTATATAATTTTTGTCGTTACTTTTTATTGTTGTTACATCTGATGATCGCTATTGCATGAAACTTTTAGTTATGTAATTGAAATATATCTTAATAATTATTTAGTTTTCACTATATTATTTGATCTACTAATTATATAAAACGCTGTTTTGTGCACTCTTACTGGAAATATTAACATAATTCCTACAATATATAAATATATATATATATATATATATATATATATATATATATATATATATATATATATATATATATATATATATATATATATATATATATATATATGTATATATATATATATGTATATATATATATATATATATATATATATATATATATATATATATATATATATATATATATATATATATATATATATATATTAGGGTGTCCCAAAAATTTTTTTTTTTCGAATTTTTTGAT